GTCCCCTTGGGGGCAAAGCTTTTAACCATCCGTCCACCCCTGTTGGCAACACCTGGCGCAGAGGTGGCCCATGGGTGGGTGCAGAGCGGGCTCCCTCGTGGGGTCAGAGGATCCTGCACCAGCCTCGTGGTTACTGGGTGGGGACAGGGCAACGGGGTCTGGAGCGGCACACGGACGTGTCCTGCACAACCTCTACATCTCGTCTCCTTCCTGGTCATCACCCCCTTGCTGTGCCCGAGCATGGGAGCGGCTGCAGAACGGGTGCACTGGGGGGATTAACAGTCCGCCCCAGCCCCTCACCCCCACTGCCCTAACCCTTCCGCCAGCCCCCTCCGGTGGAGAACGGTCACAGGGAGCCCAGAGTGACTGCCAGCTTTGCATTTCCGAGGGAGAGTCCACCCGTGGAAAGCCCCAGCCGTTGGAGGGGCTCGGATTCCGGATCCTCAGCTCTGGATATGGCAAGGGGGCGATGGCACTGCGTCTCGTTTGGGACTGAGTTGCCCCGGGGCCGGGATTGAGCGGCTGCTTCCTGTGTGGCCTGGGGTCCACTTCGGGCTGACTGTCCAGGAGGAGACTGGATGGACTTGCTGGAAGGCCAGACTGGTCCTAATCTACCAGCTTTCCTTACCTGATCTCCTGCTGGTGACCTCCAAGTGGACGCGGGGTCCTTGCCAATCCCATCTACACCGCCCAAATTAACCCACTTCGGCTACCCGCAGTCATTCTGCTCGCCCCCAGCATACACCCCTCCTATTCTAATGATCTAACCAAACTCAGATCCTGCCTTCTCCATGCAGGGGCTTCGGCCCCCAGGGATGACCCAGGGCACTTCTAATGGTCAGCATCCTTCAGTCCTGTCACTCAGTCCACATCACCCTCTCCCACGCTTGCCCCATGGCGAGAATGTAAGTGCATGTATCCCCTGGACTCGGGACAGTGCCTACCTGACAGACATGAGCTGATAACCTTATATAAGCACATACGGGACGGCTGCTCACACCCACCCCACCCAACTACTCAGGGCCCAGGGTGGGGGACAGCACCTGGCGGGGGGGGGGGGCGCATATGGCAACATGCTCTTTCTGACCCCGGTCACCCCTACAAACACAGGGTGCTGTGTGTTTATGTCAATAAACAGTTTATAAAAAAGAAAAGGGGGATCGCTTAGCACAGAGGGCTGAGCACAGGATGGATAACCCGGCGCCGTGCCCTCTCTGGAGAGAAAGCTGCCAGCTCAGACCCTCTTCCCACGTGACCTACACACATCAACTTTCATGTGTGGACCACAGCTCACCTCGGCTCTGCTCCGTGACGGTCCACAACGCAAATCGCCAAGTTGCGCCCTGCATGGGCCATGCATCCAAAACTATCGATTATATTGATGCCAATATTTATAAAGTTGGATGCTTAGGTGCCTCGGGCTGCTTAGTATCTCAGAGAAATACGAGAGAAAGACTTGAGATCACAGTGATAATAGTCATACTAATTGAGCGCTTTCTACGTGCCAGGAATTTTTCAAAGGGTTTGACATGTATTGACTCTGATATTCTTTGAAACAACCCCATGAGTTATGCTCTGGCTCAGCCTTACAGATTAGGAAACTGAGGCACAGAGAGGTTAAATAACTTGCCCAAGATCACACAGCTGATAAGTGGCAGAACCAGAATGTGAGCCCAGGCTGTCTGGCTGGAGAATCCATGCTCATAGCCAGGAGTCTTCACTACCTTGTGTCAAATGGAGAGACCGAGGACTTGTGGCCTTATGTGGTCTTTTCTGAACTTTAATGCTCCCGGTTATGGATGAGAATAATATAGTGAGATGACATGCTTTGCACATAGTAGGAATTAAATTTTTGCTCATTAGACTTCTCTGTATCTAGATGGGAAAAAGTAGCCAGATTGAGAACAAAAGTGAGAGGTGGTGTAGAGAAATGGCTGAGGATATGTACGTCCACAATGTCCGGTATTAAAGGAGTTTGATAATTAACAAAAAACCAGAGCTGATGAGGCATGTCCGTGGGAAAGCACCTGTGTAAGGCAGGCCACAGTCAGGGCTGAGCGCCTCACACCACTGGGGCCACACGGTGGAGTGATGGCATCTTAACACCACAGCTAGTCTCTGTTCAGGGAGAATACTGTGTTCTTAGGAAAATCCATTGATAACAATGGAAGCTCTTCTCTGTTTATGGGTTTTTAAATTCCCCAACTTATTTCTTAAAATTTCACACCTACAGAATAACCCATTGTTGTTGGCAACATCATGATGACTCACCCTACATTCTTCAGGACACATTTTCTAAGAACCATGCATCTTCATATCATACCTTCAGTATAATCATCACGCCTGGGGAAGTCAACATCGATGCAATGCTATTTTCCAGGATCACAATCCATATTCAAATTGCCCCAGTTGCCCCAATAACACCTTTTGTAGTTGGCTTTTCATTTTTTCCACCCAGAGTTCAAAGATTGTACATTGCATTAGTTGTTACCAATGAGAATTTGACACTTTAAGCAAAACTTTTTTTAATTTAGAATTTTGGATATAAATCTGCCTTGAAGGAAATTATTTCCAGGCTTCGTCGAAGGCATCCACACTGCTCACGCTGAGAATTCTCTTGCAGCCGAGATGACCACTGTGAGCAGAAGCCCGGCCCCGTGCTGCCCTTATCACTCTAAGAAACGGCCTCAGCTGGGTGGAGGTCTTCTGTCTCCTTTCTCTCTTTGTCCTTCTGTCTAGTATTCTGTGCTCTCGCTGTGCCCTGTCATTTTTTTCTGTAGACAGCCTGCTTTTGTTGATGTATGCTGGTCCCGATAGTGCGCAGAGGCCCAGGGAACCAGCTGTCTGGGCATTTGAAATTGTGAGGGATGTCACTAGAAGGTGGGTGTGTAAATGGGGGGGGGATGCACATTAGCTGTAGTTGTCCACCTAGGGCTCTTGAGAGTTGGGGTACATTTCAGCAAAGACCTGAAGGATGAAAAGATGGTGGTGGAAAACCCTGGGAAAGAGTTCCAGGGAAGACGGAACGAGTACAGAAGATCTCAAGAATGTGTCTGAGGAGCAGAAGGCAGGCTGGGTGGGGTCCAAGCAGGGCAGAGGTGAGGGGGCACAAGTGAGATGATCAAGAAAGTTCTGGAAGGTTGTGGTTCAGACCTCCTGTAATTGCAACCGGGAAGCCCTGCAGAATGTTAGGGAGGGCAGAGAAATGAGGCCCAGGGAACAACACACCCCATGCTCCTTCTCTGGCAGCTCAGCCTCCCGCCCAAGGGACGTGCTCTCCTATACATACGCCAATTCATACAAGTGAGTCCGGCTGTAGCATAACTTCCTGCATGTGGGGCTGTTGGGCCAAAAGCTGCGTGCATTTAGAATTTCTCTGGATACTAACAAATGGCCCCAGTGGAGGCAATCCAATTCATTCTCCCACTAGGAAAGGATGAGGCAGCTGGTTTTCTACAGTCTCTTCCAAAAAAATGCTATTCAACTTTAAAAAAAAAATCTTTGCTAATGTAATAAAAATTATCTCGCTGCAATTTTGCTTTCTCTCTCATTACAGTACAGTCGAACAGCTCCTCCTAGGCTTAGGAGTCACTGTATTTTCTTTTCTGTGAACTGTCCATGGACTCCGTTTGTTTGCATTGGGTTATTTGTCTTTTTCTTACTGATTCTGAAGAGCTTCACGTGTATGAGGAAAACAGGCCTCTCGGGTATCAATTTCAAATCATTTCCCCGCCAGCTCGCCACCTCTCCTTGACTTTATTAATGGAGGTTTTTGCAGGCAGGAATGAACAGGACAGCTTACTTCTCAGAATCTGACGACAGGACTAGATCAAACCACCCCTCCAGTGCCTTCTATTTCTACTATTTTGTAACCGCACGGACATCGCATGGAAGGGGCTGACCGTCATTTATTTGATGGAGGCGACACAGGACACCAGGATGTGGGAGGTGGGGAGGAGGCAGAAACAGTGGCAGGCAGAAGTCTAGACTCAATTTTGCCACCCGGCGGCATTTCCCGAACTTTCCACACAGCAGCGTCGCTGGAGGTTAAGGCGCGGATTTCAGGAGCCCACTCCGCCTGGATTCAAACGCCCGGGTCTGTCACTCCCGGCGGGTGCCCGACCTCCGTCTACTTGGTGGGGGTCGGACTAAGCGCTTAGAAGCGTTCATCGAGCCGACCAGACGGATGGCCAAGAGTGGCAGAAGCCCAACGGCTACATCCAGGAATTATTATGATCGGGCAGCAAACCTCCGACCCAATTTCAGGAAAAATTCGACCCCCTCCCCCACCTAACCCCCCCAAGAGAAATTAGGGCTCGACGTAGCCGCCAGAAGGAAGGTAATGGGCCCTGTGAGCTGCCCGCACGTGGCCGTCGGGGTCGCCAGACTGGCCGCGCCACCAGGAAAGGGGCCGCGCGTGGCCGCTAGACGCCCCCTCTGGCACGGAGAAAGGGGGGCCGGAACGCCCGCTTCTCCGGGCGGATCCGGATCCACGCCGCCCGCTTACCCTGCGCCCCTGTCCATACCGCCCGCTCTCCGTCCACGCCGCCTACTCCCCGTCTACTCCGTCCGCTCCCCTGTCCAAGCCACCCACTCCCCGTCCACGCCTCGTCGCCCCCTCCGCCCCCCGTCCACACTGCCCGCGCCCTGCCTCTCTCCTGTCCACGACGCTCGCTCACCCACTCTCGGGTCCACACCGCCCACTATCCCACTCCCCAGTCCAGTCCAGGCCGCCCGCTCTCCCGTCCACGTTGCCCGCTTTCCTACTCCCTGGTCCACGCCGCCCGCTTGCCCCCATCCACATCGCCTGCGCTCCCGCTCCAGGGGTCCCCGTCGCCCCCGTCCACGCCGCCCGCTCTCCTACTCCCTGGTCCGCGCCGCCCGCTTGCCCCCGTCCACACCGCCTGCGCTCCCGCTCCACGGTCCACGCCGCCCGCTCTCCCGCTCCCCCCGTCCACGCGGCCCGCTCCCCCCACCCCGCCAGGACTACAACTCCCACAATGCCCCGCCGCCGCCCCCCGGCTTCCGGTGCTGCGCAGTTTCCGGAGCGGATCGCAACCCGGAGTCCGGATCCGATCCCGCTCTGCACATTCCAAAGGCAGGTACAGCCCGGGGCCCCGCGCCCGCCGCCCGCCCCGCGCGCGCCCCCGGCCCGGCCCGCGCCCGCCGCCCCGCGCCCCGCGCGGCCCGCCGCCCCCGCCCGCCCGGCCGCCCGCCGCCCGCCCCGGTCCAGCCGCCATGCCGACTGTTCTTTGTTACATTCGCCGGCTGCGGGCACCGCGGGCGATCGGAGTCAAAACCCGGCTGGATTTCCCGGAGCCGCTCCGGGATCGCCCTGCGCGCCGCCCGCCGCCGGCCCCGCCGCCGGCCCCGCGGCCCGGGCGCTCCGGGCCCGCGCCCACCGCCCGCCGCCCGCCGCCCGCCGGCCAGCGCGGGCCCGGGCGCGGGGTGCGGGGCCGCGCTCGCCCGTGGGCGCGGCGTGGGGGCTCCTCCGCCCCCGGCCCCGGCCCCCGCCCCTGGGCGCCTTCGCTGCCGACGGTCCCTTGTGATGTCGCTCTCCCCCGTCCTCGGGCACAGAGCCCGGGGGCGCACGGGGAGGGTCCCCTGCGGACGGGAGGCAGACCCCAGGAGTCTGGCCGATGGGGCTCCCCGGGCCCCCTCCAAGAGCACCCTCCGCCCTGTTTCTGTAAACCCTTGGGTGGCACAGGGCAAGTAGTCAAATCCGTGGACAGGTGACATGTGCCCGCCCTCGGGGGGTGGGTGGCTGGGAAGGGGCGCGCGGGCCACAGGTGAGGTCTGGCCTGGCCGCGGCGCGGACAGGTGGACAAGTTGGTCATGTGGCCTCTGGCGAGAGGGACAGGTGCTCGCGGTGAGGGTCAGCTTTGAGAAGGCAAGTGAAAACTCATTATGGAAACATCCACCTACCTGGTAGTTATGGTTATTATGTTTACCTTTATGAAGTTGTTAAGGTAGCGGATGAGGTTTTTTCCACAAATGTTCAGAAATTGCACACTCCCCCCCCCCCCCAGGGGTAGGTTAAAATGGTAGAAACAAGTGTGTGCTCAGAGACAGTGGACCAGTGCATGTATTTATAGCTGCCAACGCACAAAAACCTCGCTGGCTTAAGCCACTCTCATAAAATCTGGACTCACCAGATAAATTTGGAGAACCCAGCTTGGTTCCTGGAGATATTTTTAAGGATGAAAAGTAAATGAGCAACTGGCTTGGTGATAAACCTTAAAGGCAACGATGAGAACTCTCCCTGGAACGTGCAACCATGTAGACACTGTGTTTCTAAGTGAGGTGCCCCCTCCTGCACAATGCACGCACACCGCCACCCTGTTTTGTTTCAAACCTGGGCATTTTCACATTCTCCACATTTTCCCTGCTCCACTCTGCTTCTCTGGATTTCCTGACATCACCACCTTATGGTGAATGGCTGTGAAACAGAGCTATAGTTTGGGTTTTGAAAGGGAAAAACAGTAAAATTTATCCTTTATAGAGTTTTCTTCCCTTGAGATCTTTGATTTGTACTTTTGCAGACAAGTTGCCAACAAACAGTATAATAGCATGTTCGATTTGCGAAGCAGGAGTATTTGTTCCAGAAGACAAATAAATAAATTAAGAAATCAACCCAAATTGCAAGACTAATAGCTTTTCTTGGAATAATTATATTTGGGAGGAATCTGTTAGCTTAGGATAGATCTCTTGTGGATCCTTCTTCGAACATTATCTGTGTAGAAGGCCACGGAAGGAACACTCTGCCCATTTTTCAGATTTCAGGGAAGTTTCAGGCAGCTGTTTCTTACACATGATTTCAGCGGTTGAGATTGTAAGCAGTGACGTAAATGCTTTCTCAGCCTCCTTTTCACATTTGTGAAATGTGGGTGACGCCTGTCCAGTTTGCCTCAAACAGTTCATGAATGTATGTATTTATTCATTCAACAAACATTTATTCACTGGGCGCCTATCATGTGCCCAGCACTGCAGAGAACAAGAAAGAAGGCCCTGGGTGGTGGCCGTGATGTTCTGGAGGGAGGGAGGTGCAGATAATACACGATAAAACTATGTTAGGTAGACAGTGGCTAGATCATGGACAAGAAAGAAGGAAGGGCAGCAGGTGGAGGCTGCAATGTGGATAGGGGTGGGCACACTTGGGCAGTTGAGACTAGAAAGGTCTAAGCAGGGGACATCTGAATGGAGACCAGTGCTATGAGGTGCTCAGTGGAGATCTTGGGTGTGGGTGTTACAGGCAGACAAATGGCAAGTGCAAAGGCCCTGGGGTGGGAATAAGCTCTGTGCACCCAAGAATGAGAAAAGCCAGTGTGGCTGATGAGAGGAAGCTTAGGAGGGCAGCACAGGCTGTCCACCATCCAGAGTTTATCCTGAGTGCCAGGTGGATGCCGCTGGGGGCTTGGACAGGAGTGGGACAGGATCTGTGTCTTTTTAGAGACGATCCAGTACCTGATGCATGGGAAATCCAGGCCCAACAAGACAGTAGAAATAAGGTCGGGGCAGAAGGGGAAATGAGGAGTCAGGACAAAGCGTATTTCTAGAGCGAGGCAGGCCTTGCTGCTGTTTTGGCTGGGAAATGTGTGCTGGGTGACAAGAGGTGCCATTTACTGAGGTGCAGATGGCAGGTGTGCAGGTTGCCGGGGTGAGAGGGGGAATCAGGGCCCTGTGGACCAGCATCCTCTGGGGTGGGGGAGACCCTTGCCTGGGGCCCAGGGCCCTCGCCTTCCCCAGATGGTCTCATCAAATGGCGTATCCTAGGAAAGGGTCCCGCCTCCTGCCGTCCAGGAGCCAGTGACCCCCGTCCCCAGTGTTGGTGTGGGCCATGGCGCTCAGTATGGGAAACCTCCGGGTCCCAACACATGTGGGGGTGTCAGCAGAGTGACCCCAACCGTGGGCAGCAGACCTTGCACGGTCAGTGGATAGAAGGCGTCGTGTGCTGACGGAGGAGGAGGGGCCCGTGGGCGTTTGTGGTGGTCCTTGACAAGTGGCTGTGAGTGACGCTGCAGGAGCAGAGCTCTTCCATCCCCATCTACTTGTCCGTGCAGCAGTTTCCCACATTCACGTTTTAAAACCGAAGGCTAGGAGCCGAGCTGAACGTTAGTCCGTCCTGGGTGGACCGACTGGGGAGAGCCTCCCTGCCTCCATCAACACAGCTTCTGTTAGACAGCCGTTTCCCAAAGCGTGCGCCGCCGTGTTTCTGTTTCAATCAGTGGGGTTCCATCTATTGCAATGACAACTCAATCCGGAAGAAAATAGCACAGCCTCATGGGCCCAGAGAATCAAGACTCATTTGATGTATGTGCGTAGCTGTGGTGGGATCAGTCGAGTCGTTCCAGGCACGAATGTGTAACATCGGGTTTCACACGTGCAGCCGTGGAGACAGGATCGGAGGGAGAGAAGGCTGTGACCCTCCTGACGGTGGAGCTGGTGCCCGTACTTTGGAAGTAGAGGGCAGTGGGTACCAGTGAAGGGCTCGGATCCCGGTAGACATGTTTAGAAGAGTGACACAACAGTTTTATTTTAAGAAATCAATATTTATGATGTGCTGGGAATTACATCCCTTGCAGCTGTTTAAACTCAGGAGGAGCAGTTTGAGCTGTCAGCAGAAGTGCAGGAAGTAACCAGGCGTGGGGTGGGGTCAGGGGCCTGGGGAGGGCTGGACCAGGGGTGCAGGCCGGGGAGGTGCCCTGGGGGGGCAGTGCTGGGTCCAGAGGGAGAGAGAACCCAGGAGCCGGCCTAGGCTACCCCACTGTGGGTCATGTGTGGATGGGGGATGGGAGGGGGAGGGGGCTGAGGGAGGCACATCCAGTGACAGAGGGAAGACTGGGAGACCGCAGAAGAAAGGGTGTCCAGAGGGAGGGAGGGTGGGCCTGCCTGTGGGGCGCTGCCAGGGCCCAGGGCTGGTGGAGGGTTGGCCTGACCAGCTGGAAGGCCACTTGACTGGTGTGCTCTGGTGGAGGGGTGGGGGCTGATCCTCCCATTTGAGAGAGACAGGAGGTGAGGAAGCCATGGGGGAGGTGACGTTAAGGAAACATTATTTGTTGTCTGAGTGAGCTCTGTTGGAGGCTGGTGTGAATAATTCCAGGTGTGACTCAGCCTGAGGGAGGCGCAGGTGGCCTTGGCCTCCCCGGGGAGAAGTGGGTGTGGCGTGTGACAGGTCTGGCCAAGAGTGCTTCAGAGAGGAGGGCCATTCGGATCAGGTCTTAAAGATGAGGTAGGAGTTTCACAGAGGGAGAGAGAGTGTTTCTGGAAGAGGCAACAAGAGGAAGGTGGCGCGGAGGCTGGGAAGTGGTCGTGGACCATGTGGAGAGAGGAACCCTGGGGCTGCCCCCCTGGGAGGCAGGGCAGGTGCTAATCGAGGCCTGTTGGGGCCTCTGGTCCTAGTAAAATCTGAAGAAGCCCGACTCTGGATCTTCCTCTCGAGCCTTCCAGAGCCTGTGGAGTCACATTGCCACAGACCTACACAGAACCGGAGCTTGGAGGTCTCAGAGCTGAGGCCGTTCTTCACCTGAGACGGGCCGTGTGTTGTCGGCTCCGATCGACTTCGATGCTCAGCGCGGTCTGTGTCTCCAACTTATAGCTTCCAGCAAGCGCCGACATATTGCAAGTCTCCTCAGAAAACCCTTATTAAATATCCTCTGCCCTTGAGGCGGCTGCAGAGTTGAGTGTCCTTAAATCATGATTCCTGCGAGGGGCCTGCCAGGGGCCTTCGTGGGGTCATGTGGCAGGACTGTCACTTCTCTGGGAAGAAGGGACCTCACCTGCCGGACAAAGGGTCTGTCTTTGAGGAGTGTTCTGAGTGTCTTGTAACTCTCAAGGCCTCTGGCCCTTTGTAAGTTTAAAAAATATATATGCTAATTAGTTATAGTAAGTTTGCATTTTATTGTGACCAAAAGCATAAATGTGGTTTTAAGGCCACATTAGTCACGAGGCTTATGACATCCTTGTTCTGATCAGGCCACTTCCATTCTGTTCACGGGCCCCGTGGTCTCCGTCCCCTGGCGTCCCTCTGGGTCCTTTCCACTTCTTCCCCGGGCAGTGCTCCAGCCCTACACTGGGAACGTATGAGGCTCTTTTCACCAGCAAA